CCCATTAATGATCTTTTGAAAGGAAAGAAGAAGAAGGAACCCATAATCTGGACACCCGAAGCTGAAAATGCTTTTGTCGCTATTAAGGGAGCTTTAATTTCTTCCCCCGTTCTTGTACAACCTGATTATTCTCGCCCTTTTACTATTCAGTGTGACGCTAGTGATACCGGTTTAGGTGCCGTGTTGACGCAGGAAATCGATGGCGGAGAAAAGGTAATATCTTATGCTAGCCGTTCCCTAACGAAGGCTGAGCGTTCTTATGGAACCACCGAGAAAGAAGTCCTTGCTGCTTTGTTTTCTGTGGAAAAGTTTCGTCCTTACATTGATGGTGTTGAATTTATTCTTATTACCGACCATTATTCTTTGTTATGGCTCACAAATTTGAAAAATCCTACAGGTCGTTTGGCTCGTTGGGCTATGCGCCTAAAACAATTTGATTTCCGAATTGTACATCGTAAAGGAGCTTTTCATAAGGTGCCAGACGCACTTAGCAGGATTCACGAGAATGATAAAATTGCCTATCTTGAGGTAGACGCTGATCGTATCGACCCTTCGTATGATGACTTGCGTACGAAAATTTTCGCCAGTCCCGATAATTTCCCACAATGGAAGGTTGAGGATGATCTCATTTATAAGTTTATTCCCACATGTCTCCCTTTTAATTCAAATCTAATTGAATGGAAAGTTCTTGTGCCTGAACCTCAACGTGAAGGAGTCATTAATTCGTGTCATGTTCCGGCCACTTGCGCGCACCCAGGTGTTTATAAAACTCTTGCTCGGATTCAGGAGCGATACTATTGGCCGAAGATGAGAAAAGATGTCGTTAAGTATGTGCGTGCTTGTAAAACATGTGGAGCACAAAAAGCACCTAATACCGCACAAATGGGAAAAATGGGTAAAGAGAAAAAAGCTGAGTATCCATGGCAAATTATCGCTGTCGATTTGATTGGTCCTTTGACTAAAAGTAAAAACGGTTTTACATGGCTTTTGGTTTGTGCCGATTGGTTTTCGAAATATACATTGTTACATCCTCTGCGCAAAGCAACTGCCTCTAACATATGTAAGTTCTTAGAAGAACAGGTGTTTCTAATGTTTGGAGTTCCTCAACATCTCATGTGTGATAACGCTTCGAATTTAAATTGTAAAATCATGAAGGATCTTTGTAAACGATATGATGTCCAAAAAATCTGGTTTTCTGCTGTTTATCCACCACAGGTAAATTTTGTTGAACGAAATAATCGTACGATTGGTACCGCGATTCGAAGTTATATTGATAACCATCGTGATGGGGACAAACATATTCATGAAATTCGTCAAGCTATTAATACCGCTAAACATGAGGTAACTCAATATACTCCTGCATTTTTGAATTTTGCTAGACATGTGCCGTTATCCGGAAATTACTATGGTCAAATACCCAATGATTCTGTCGATATTGAAATCCTACCCGGTGACCGTAATAATTACGCCTCAGAAGTTAAAGGTTTAACTGAAGTTTTTTCAGTAGTTCGTAAAAATTTATCTCGTGCATATGAGCCAAATGCCAAGACTTATAATTTGCGTAAACGCGACGTACAATTTAACGTCGGTGACCAAGTTTGGAGGAAAAATATGGTTCTATCTAGCGCTCCAAAGCATTTTATGGCAAAACTGGCCCCTAAGTATATTTTGTGCACGGTTATTAAGAAGTTATCTCCTTTAGTATATGTCCTTAGAAATCCGGATGGAACAAATGCCGGAAATTGGCACATAAAAGACCTAAAAGCTTACCAGCCAGTCAGTGTTTCTTCAGACGATTCAGTTTTGTCTGAAACCGAATAAATCTGTTTTCCTAAATTCTTAATACCTTTCTTCTAAAAATGTTCCGCCCATTCTTAATTTTTTTATTTTTGTTGATTTCCTTCATGCGTTTGCATACCTAATCTTTGCTACCTCCTCCAGCGACTTTTCTATCCCTCCGTGGCCCGTGTACAGGAAAAGTTGCGCTAACGCGAGCTTTATCCTGGAGAGGATTCATTTCCTTTCAAAAATTTTTTTGGCGTGGGATCAGTACTGCACTGATACCCTAGTACTTAGTACATTGAATACCACTTTGCTTTGGCAAATCCGTCCCCTAGTGCTTCTTTCCCTTCAGGAAGTGGACACGTTTCAATTTTTTTTTGGGCTGTCTCGACAACCTTAATTTATGTTGGCGGTGTTGACTATTAGTCCAGGACCATCCTGCTATAGTCAAGTGTATTAGTGGACATAGCCCTATTCCAAATGATAATTTTTGATTGTTAGATGTTGTCGCAAAGAGACGAGCCTCTGGAAGTAGTGTAGGAGACTCCGCATGTTGATATCCAGAGCAACTCAGTTTGGCTCGCACCCCAGTTCGTAGAACTGTTTTACCTTTATTATTATAATATTAACACCTTGTAGTGTTTAGTATATTTAGATGTCGTATTTCTTTTCGACATAAATTTTATTTTTATTTTTTTATCCAACTCTATTTCGGTACCGTTTTTTTTTTGTTTATATTCATCGAGATCATTTTTTTTGCTGCCCTGACCAACAACTTATATTGATTTCATGGGTGTTTGCAAAATTTAATCTCATATTTTTTAGAATTCCCTAATAGAGTGTGGTACTGTTATGTTTATTTTAGTTATTGTATTTTGTTACAACGGATAGTATATACTGGTAGTTGTTTAAGAGATACAAAATCAGTTTACCTTATTTTACGAATTTATAGATCCAATTCCTTTTTTTGGTATCTATACCAAAGATATCAAGATTCCTCTGTCCAGTTACCAAGAATGGTTCATTATAGTACTTGTTCCTTTTTGCCTAAGTCTTACTCTTAGTGTGCGGACTTTCGATTTTCGACGCTCTATTCGAAACCCCCAAAATGTTTGAAAAATATTATTGTTGTCCAATATTTTGCATTCTGAATGGCCAGACACTGAGGAAGGCTAGGGATGAAGTAAGCTGATTCCCGCTAGTTGACTCGTCGGAATGATAAGCCATTTATAATTGCATTTTAATAATAAGTAGAACAGCAACCTTCCGCGTTAGGAAACTTTTTTACTTTCCGCTTTTTTTAATTTCCTAAAACTTGTTTAGTTATATAACCTAGAATTATTATGACCCTACCCGAAGTTGACCCTACCCGAAATTGACCTACCGATGTTGTCCCTATTACAGGCGAATGATACACGTTAGTTATCACCAATTCTAGTAGTACTAATAACTAAACACCAGCCTTTTTTTTAGTTTCTAAATAGAGTAAAGCATGTCGAAAATTCTGATGTCTACCTTTCCCAGTGGACTTATTATAGGTTTGTCTTTGTAGAACTTTAATGTACCCAATTTTGAACTATTAGTAACCCATTCTTTTGTTTTTGCGTGTTTCTAATTGTGACTATAGTGACGCTTTGCGTTATTATCTTGTGTTATTCGTGGATTAAGTCATAGATGAAATACTCTACGCTTCCAAATAAACGATAACATTTTTGTTTTTTTTTATTGCGTATCTATGAACACGTTTTATTGTGTTTGTATAATAATGTTAGTTTAAGTCTAAGGCCTCCTAACAATTACACAGTAGAGTATTTGTTTTGTATCTCAAATAAAACTCTAGTGTGTTTTATTTCTTTATCGTTTGTGAAATTTCAAATGATAATACCTTAATTGATATTTCAGTTGAACAAGAGATTTGGTCTCAAATGATGATAGTATATATATTTTATTTTATTCGTTTGCTTATAATAGTGGTCGTAAGTGAAATATTCACAAATATTCTATGCGTTTTGCCTGGGTTTATTCTGAAATATTTGAGTGTTCCCACATGAACTGTGAAGGAAGAATTTTTTGAGTCCAGGTCGTGGCTACATTTGCCCCTGTTGTTTGTCTTACCTCTCCATATATCTGTTTCCACTTTTGAAGGTTAGTATGATGTACCACCATGCCTAGTCCGATTCCACACTGGTACCCAGTTGAAATCGTGAGGGGAGCAGTGTAACCGTTTCAAAAGTTTTAGAAAATTCAATATAAATTTGAATATTTTTTTTTATAATGAAACTACTTACCCCATCTATTTGCCAGATGTTTGTATTCGACTCAAGGTCCTACATTATTTCTTAACATATCCGATGAGGGCGAACGATATTAAGCTTGTCGGTCACGCCTTCATTTCAAACCGCGAAATAGTTTCGTTGCTCTTTTCTTGTTGCAACCGTTCGTTTGATCGGACCTGTGTTTCGAATGAGTTCCTAAATTAGGGGTGAGTTACAAAGAAAGTTTTTTTTATATTTCAGATGAATAATTGTTTTTCAGACTCTGTTTCCGGGAGGTTAAACTTTCAATGATTATGTTAAATTAACTGGAACATTTTCCGACAGTCCAATACTTACTATAATATGGCTTCCAATAATTACATATAATACAAATGGATCCTTACTATTAATTATCTGATGGAGTAGTTAAAATTACATATAATACAAATGGATCCTTACTATTAATTATCTGATGGAGTAGTTAAAATTACATATAATACAAAAGGATCCTTACTATTAATTATCTGATGGAGTAGTTAACAGATGGACGGAAACAGGATACCTCTTCTTCTTTGATTTTCCGGAGAATAAATAAATAAGGTTGTACCCTTTTTTTATTGAGCCCTATCAAGAGCGAGAATTTTCCTTATGGATTCATAGAGACAAAATATTGGAATATCTTAATTTTATTTAAAGTTTGTTTTTACTTAATATGTTTAATTAATGTTTAACTACTATTATATCCTAAATGTGAACAAATTTCGAAATTTGGGAAAGAAACATAGTTTCATTTATTATTAATGATCCATTTTTGATTTGCTACGATATGTAGTTGTTCTTTTATTTGTAATAATACAATTCCATTTATTATTAACAACCAATTTTTGATTTACTACGATATGTAGTTGTTTTTTTTGTTATTAATAAAGTCAATAAGAAACGTATGTTTTTTATAATTTTCAGTTTTAGTACAAGCAACCAGTAAAGTAGAGTATAACTTAATAATAACTCCTGTTATTTGACTTGGTTTTCACCAGTGTCTAGTTGACACATTTCTAATTTTTAGATAGCTATGTTGTATTCCTTTATGGAACTTTTGATGTTATTTGAATATATAATTTTATTTGCAGCACATAGTGCCAAACAATAATCTTAAATAAAAACACTTTATGACATTTTACAGCTTCATTAATTTTTAATAATCAATTCGTGATTGGATACGATAATTAGTTGCTTTGTTTATATTAAATCCAACATGAAGTAATATGCAATGTTTATGAATAATACAATTTTGAATGTCTCTTTTTTTACTGAATTTTGATTTCCTTTCGGAAACGGTACTCGGTTGTGCCATTCGTCGGTTTCGTGGTTCCGATAAGGCTTGCCTTTCGGATACCCGGCTAGCATTCGTGTGCTTGATTTCGAACGCCAACTTACCTCAAGCCTGATTCGATTCGAGGACTGCCAAGCGGGCAATGTGACTGTGGCGGTACATCTGTCAAAGAATAAAGCAGCTGTCTTAAGGCCAGCCCAGCGAGGACAGAAACCTCGCGTAAAGCTGGCTTAATCCCGATGTTAAGTATGCATAAGGACTGCGAAAGCACTGCCCATCGATCCTTTTTACTTGAAGACTTTTCAGCAAGAGGTGTCAGAAAAGTTACCACAGGGAACTGGCTTGTGGTGGCCAACCGTTCATAGGGACAAGCTTTTTGATCCTTCGATGTCGGCTCCTCAATTCGCCAAGCGTTGGATTGTTCATCCATGAACAGGGAACGTGAGCTGCGTTTAGAACGTCGTGAGACAGGTTACTTTTACCCTACTGATGACTCGTCGTTGCGATAGTAATCCTACTCAGTACGTGAGGAACTGCAGATTCAGACATTTGGTTGACGCACTTACTCGAGCGGCTAATAGTGTGAGTGAATGGGATCATGAATGAACGGCTCTAAGGCAGTATCCTTTCTAGTCAAAAGTGACAACGATATCTCTTGGAGTCCCGATAGTCAAAAGGCTCAAAACAATGTGACTTTACTAGGCAATCGTACTTCGCTACGATTGTTGCACGAGCCTTTATTTCCGTTTAGATCATCGGTTTACGGTGGGATCGATCCTTGCCAGTAGACTAGATCTTTAGACGGACGAACATGGGTATTATAATCTTTCTATGATGATCCTCGGAATTGTCTGTAGATGACTTACGTACCTGGCAGGGTGTTGTACCTGGTAGAGCAGTTGTAACGGGATTTTATTAAGCATCCAGAAATCAGATCTAAGTAACCCAATTCAGTTTAAAATTTAAAATCCTTTCAATAATATTATTCATTGCTTACTGCTAAATGCCATTGTTTGTTTATGATATTGAAAATACCGGTATAACTAGAATACGCGCTGACCTAGTGAAATGTGTAATGTAATCAAAAGCTTATTAAATAATGTGTACAAATTATATTTAAAAAATATGAATGCATAAACAAAACGCACGTGAGTTAAATACCCGAAAAATATCGGGAGTACATTAATTAAGAATTAATTACTATTACCCGTCAACTGGGTACTCTCTCTATTATTGTCCTTAGAGAATCAATAAACTAATTATGAGTATCCAGTGAGTTTGAGTTAATCAACTCCATGCAGGGGGTAAACTCCATGGGGTTATAATATATTTCTACTATATGGAACTCTTAATGGAAGCAATCTACTAAACATCATAAGAATATACAACATTATTATATGGCGATCCTACACCAGACGGAAATGGAGCAGATATAAAATGGGATGAAAAACGTCGAAGGACGAGGTACAGGAGAATGGAGTTGTAAACAATACTTGTCCCCGCCTTGTTTTGAGATACAAATTTTTTTTGTAAGTGCGACAAAAAAAATATTTTCTCTCAACAACAAAAATTTTTTTCTTGTTATCATTTTATCCTAACCTAATTCTTTTACCCCCTGTCGGGACTTATGTAAGATAGGGTAAGTTTTCGATCGAAAATTTCCAAGTCTTTAACCTCAAATGGATGTTCGTACTTTTTGGCTACTCTGTTTTCTTTATTTATTAAATTTTCATAATCCCTCAATATTAACTCTTCTCTAACTCCTTCTCTTTTTCTTTTCCACATATCAATTTTCCTTTTTTTTCCTCAGATTCTTTACACATGTTTATTGTATATTCTGCCTCCTCCATCTCGCATACTTCTTCTCAAACACCACCGTTTCAATTGTATCTTTTCCCTTTTCTTTTATCAAACCTTTTTCTTCTTTTACTTCGTCTTCTGGGCTCATATCTTCTTTTGAGGTCTCCCCTATTTCCTTTTTTAATTTTGTTTTCTACTTTTTCTTCTTCTCTGTCCTTGCTTCGTTGCCAAATTTATTTCCACCGTTTGTTATTTGTCTAATCATGTTTTCGATTCTCATATTCCTTGTCCTTTTCCAATATGTCCTGTTCTTCTTCGTTTTCCTCCGTGACTTTCATCGTGTTATTTTTGAAATCTATTACATGTTTTTTTGCCAATTCATCTACTCCTACGATCATATCATGCAACATATTTGGCATTATAACACATTGTAGTACATAAAATTTCTTTCCCAATTGTACCTTTATTCGTATTTCTTCATTTATAGTTGCCAAAGTCCGTTTATTTGCGCCCACTAAATTTACTCTGGGAAGTTTGTAAATTAAATTTATTAAATTAACCTCTTCTATTAATTTTCTGTTGATCAGTGTAATTTCCGAACCGGTGTCTATCATAATTTTAAGCGGTTTCCCGTTTATAAAACCATCTACAAACTTTAAATTTACTCCAATTCTTTTAATCATTATTTCCTGCCATTTAATAAAATCCTTCGGGTGACAAAAAAATCTCGTTTGCCTTTTTGTATCTAGTGAGCGCCTTCGTGAATAGACGCTTGCTGTTCTTCTGTCTCTCTTCTATTTTCTCTTGGTTTGTCGGACCCGTATCGGTTTCCATGATTTTCCTGTTCATTTCGTCTAATATTATTTCTGTTCTCTTGATAATATGTGCGAGTGTTATTTCTATTTTGGTTTTCTCGATATCTGTTCTCGTTCCATTGCCGATTTCTTTGTTCATAATTTCCTCTTCCGTTGTCTCTAATTTTCTTGCGATTTTATTTTCTTCGATAAAAATTTGTTTTGCGAGGCATGCCATTACTTTTTACTACATATATATATATATATATATATATATATATATATATATATATATATACATATATATATAAATATATATATATATATATATACATATATATATATATATATATATATATATATATATATATATATATATTTACGGCATAAAGTAAACTCCGCCCATGTTAAAATTCAGGTTCAGGTGAGCTCCGTGGTCAAGTGGACACCGATATACGGAGCTCACTTGACCATTCCATAATATTGGCTCTGTCGATTCGTCAACATGTATAGTTTCATAATTTTTAAAAAAATTTTGGAGCCCATAATTATCCCTGTATCATAAATGTATATCGCTTAGTTCACGTGTATATATTATAGGGGTCGTTCAGATCTTTTTCACTGTATATTGGAACCATATGTATATCGGTTTAAGTAAGCTCTGATAGTTTGGCAACTCTGCTATAAGATGTATAATTCTCGCGTAAAGTCTGGACGGTTTATATGGACTCCTTAGTTTTGTTATCATTCATACGCATCACAGTGTGTAACAGATATGTATACTATTAACTACCTGTTTTTGGTAGGTACGAGTTCTCTAAAAATAGCTTTATAGATACAAAAGGATTTCATTACCAAATTGGATTTTGTTTCATATGCGGAAATTTCCTAATGTATTTTGTTAACGTGAATATGTCTTCATAAGTTTTATTTAAGAATCCGATGAATAAGAACTTCTTTTATTTCATCCATGGTTTTATGATATCTTGTATACAGCTTTTTTATTATTTTATTTCTGGTTTTATCTATGTACTACATATAAGTTTGGATAAAAGGTTATCTTAAAATAAATATTTAAGTGCTAAAATAGATATTTTTGTGTAAAAATGGGTAGTGGTGCACAAAAAAAGAAAGAATTTATCTAACAAGCATTATACCACTTCTCCAATATTACATACTTCTGAATGTTTTATTTTCTATTTAGGGGTAATATGTTATCAATACAAGTGGAGTTAGTTTCAAATTTGCAATGATCTTTATAAGTAAAAGCTTACTGGCTATACTTAACATGTTTAGTTCAAATAAATAAACCTTGTCCCTTCAGAAAAGAGCGATTTGAATGGAAAAGTCAACTAAGAAAGTGTGATGAATCTTATACCACCCCACATTGACACAGGTTAACCGGTGTTTGCAGGCAAGAGTCCTCCAGGCAAATTTAAGGAAGATAACAACCATAAGGAAGTTCCTTTCGAGGGTTCGGTTGGCGAGGAGCAGCTAATATTTTTTTTGTATATCTTGCAGATGTGATGATCTGATGACTGACTAATTTATAGCTAAATATACTTTTATCACCCATACTAGCAAGGTATATATGGCAGCATAAGCATAGAGTTTAAGTCTACGTTTTAAGGGTGGAAGAATGTGCTTCCTATTTTGAGCTGACAAGTTTGCGGAGAATATTATTTTTCTGGTTCTAGGTTGCCATTTGGTTTTAAACAAAGTTCTGTGATAGAAACTATCTTCAAGGTATTTATAGCAAGTCCAGAGTTTAAGGATTTCATGACACTATTGGTTCAGGTATATCTTCAGATTTGTGAAAGCGTCTCTATTAGGGACATTTCCGGGGTTTGGCTTAAAATTGATTTATAATCTATTTTTATTATTTCTAATTTCTATTTAGTAATTCTTCTTTCTCTACTCGTTGCTTGGCCTCTCCTTGGTTCTTTTTATGTTGCTCTGGTAGTTTTTTGAACACGCTATTTCCAACACCTTTTCTTCTTTATAGCACCATCTCCATTCCTTGCCGTCCACTGTGATTTTATTGTATCCTATTTTGACCATTTTTCCATTTTCTCTCATTTCTCTTGCTTTATCT